GAGTTAGGTGAATCTGAATTTGAATTCCAGCTCAGGTAACCATGGGAAATTACCCAAACTCCCAGCCTCAGTTTTGGCATCTGTATGTGGGGATAATAGTATCTACCTTGGATGGGTTACTGTGAGGATAAAACTCATTTTATGAGTCTTTACTACTTAAAGTGTGTACCATGAACCAACAGGTGGTTAGCAATGCTGCACAACAGAGCCCTGAATTATGATCTGCATTTTGATGAGATCACCACCTGGCAGAATGCATCCAGCAGAATGCCTGCCTGCCACACATTTTAGTATTTATTTATTATTCTTCAGCTGATAGATAACAACTATTTCAGTCTTTCAGACTAAAGTAATTGGGTTGACTTGGAAAAACACATTTGGCCAGTTTATTTAGTCTCTTTTTCTTAATTATTGACCTAAGTTGTCCTTCAACTCATTTGAAAGATGTATAACTTCCAGACTTATGGTCTAGACTCTAGAGTGTTTCTGTCTGTCCCTTTAATTTATTTATTCACTCAACACAAATCAAACACCCACTATGTATTAGCTACTATGCATGCCACTAGGGAAGCTATGCAAAATGGACATGGTCCTCACGCTTGTGACACTCAGCTGAAAAGGACACGAAAATGAGTCAAAATGTGGCATGTTGTAGTTCTCAAGATGTAAAACTTTGTGAGTATCGGGGAGTAGCGTATACTTTTTTAAGAAATCTGCAGAGCAGTTTTTTTTCCTTTTCTGGGTTTTATTCTCTTTTTTTCCTCCTCTTTTTCTTTTTTTTTCTTTTCTTTCTTTTTTTCCCCAGTTTGAAAGTAGTTGTTTATTAAATGACCAGATTACAAAAAATAATCATGGTGGATACCTTAGCTCATCCTTCTGATAAGCCTATTGATCTGGTCTTCCCTATGGCCAGCATCTCCACCTTCTGCAAAATGGGCGACATTTTTCTTCACTCCCCCTGGTGGGGAAGATCATCTGAAGGGCCATAAGAAGTTGTTTGCTTCTTTGACACGTTTTCCAACAGTATAGATCTCGTGAATCAGATCCTCCATGCAGATGATGCCATGTTTACCAAAAGATCGAGCTGTCAATGTGTTCTCTGTCAGGACAATTTGCTTCTTGTTGATTTTGGCTGTAACCATGCCTGTGGATCCATTCATTCACTGACTTCCGGTTTGGGTCCCCTCATGCTCTCTATGGCTCCACAATCCTTAGCATGTTAACTGAAGCCTTGGCAAGCCTAACAAAGGTGCCACTGATGATCTGGCAAAGGTGAAGAAGCTACAACACCTTTCAAACGTTTCGGCTCTGATCCTGATGACAAATGCCAGTTTGGGTTCTGCAGGTACGTAGAAGTTGCCAGCTTTTCTTGCCATCCTACCCATTCGAATCTCAGTTCTGAGCATCTGCCTATATTCCTTGTGGGAATGCTTAGCTTTTCACAGATAAGCTCCCTCCTTGCCTTTCGAAGCATCTTTTGGGCAAACTTCTTTCTCAGATGCTTGATCTTCAACTCTGCGAAATTCCTTGGCTTTTTTTTTTTTAAGGGTTCCTGGCACAGCAGGAACCTTCTTTTTCTGCTCTTCTGCACCCTCCCTGATGCTAGCTGGGGAAGAGAAAGGTCTCTCTCTCTCTCTCTCTCTTTTTAAAGATTTTTTTATTTATTTGACACAGAGAGAGAGAGAGCAAGAGAGGGAACACAAGCAGGGGGAGTGGGAGAGGGAGAAGCAGGCTCCCCACTGAGCAGGGAGCCTGATGCGGGACTCAATCCCAGGACCCTAGGATCATGACCTGAGCCAAAGGCAGATGCTTAATGACCGAACCACCCAGGTGCCCCTCTCTCTCTTTTTTTCTCAAATAAACTCTAACCCCAACGTAGGGCTTGAACTCATGACCCGGTGATCAAGAATCGCATGCTCTACTAACTGAACCAGCCAGGCGCCCCATTAACTTTTCTTAATTTAGAAAAACTATTTATATCATATAATGCTTCTTGTTTTGAATTCTACATTTTATTATGATAATATTGCTTACCACAAACTTTTTTCATTTGGTCGTAATTTTGATCATTCCTGAATTTTTAACTCTTATTTTTCCAATTTACTTAAATTAAAAAATATATTTTAACTGAGATTAAAAAAACACATGTAAAATTTTTCATCTTAATCATTCGCCGTTCAGTAATGTTAGCCCTATTCACATTGTTGCACGACAAATCTTTAGGACTTTTTCATCTTGTAAAACTGAAACTGTGTCCATTGTACAACTCCATTTCCCCCTCACCCCAGGCCTTGGCAGCCACAATTCTACTTTCTGCTTCTATTAATTTGACTGTGTTAGATACCTAATATAAGTGGAATCATATAGTATTTGTCTTTTTATTGTTAGCTTATTTCACGTAGCATAATGTCCTCAAGGCTCATTCGTGTTAAGCATGTGACAAGATTTCTTTCCGTAAAGCTGAATAATAATCCATTGTGTGTATATGCCACATTTTCTTTATCCATTCATCCATCGATAGACATTTGGGTTGCAGAAGCTATTGTGAATAATGTGAATGATGTGAATGGGACTACCTCTCGGCTATTGTGAATAATGCTGCAATGAACATGAGCGTGCCGCTGAAGGACTTTGACTCCAAATGTAGACACTAATCCATCCCCATGCCTGAAAATAGTTCTTGACTGTAAATAAGAAATGTGGGCTTGAGCTAGCAGGGAGGGAAAAGTGGGCCGCTTCTGCTCAGGATCTCATCTCTGAATGTCCAGGCAACAGCAGAGGAAAGGAGAAAATGCCTGAATCACGCAGAGCAAAGAGTTTCTTGTCTAAAAGATTGTATGCCTACCATATACAGAATGCCATGTGGAGGGTTTCCTGGATTAAGATAATTATGACAATGAGAATTTTTTTTTTCAAGTTCCCAGGATCATGTCTAAACAATAATGAAAATAGTGATCACCAGTGTCAGGAACAGGCCCAGCAGGGGAGAATATCAGAACCCTATCTGGAGAGAGGCCTTGTGTTCTTTGGAAAGAGAATTACACAGAGAATAGAAAAATTCAAACTTCAAATACGATATAAACTACTGAAATTTAAGCTTAGCAACGTTTTCCCCCCCCTGGCTGTCCGGGCATGGGTTAGGATAATAAAGAAATATGGGTCTCTGTGGCTAAGAGACCAATCTCTTAAAGCACACAGAAACCCTTACCAGGGTTCTACCTGATGTTCTTTGCTCCTAAGTTACTGGTTAAATGAATTGTTTCTGTTGAAAGCTAGTCTTTAAAGAAATTTAGTTTCACTTGGGCACCCCAGAGTCTTTATCTGGGCTCCCAAGTCAGCTGCAGATGACATTCCTAAGAAAATCAGTTTATATACAAAAGTCAAGAGCAACTTTGGGCTTCCCTGGGGACTAGGAATTATATAAGCCTTCAGGGAGGGAAAGGAAAAGTATGATAAGCTTGAACCACTTAAACCGCCCTTCACTGATCTCTTTTAGTCCATCATTTCAGTTCTTAGAGAAGAGGAGAAGGATTACTGCAGACTGAACTTGTTGGTACCACTTTACTAGAGCTACTTGTCACCATAGCAAATATGGTTATTTATGGTACAGGTAAGCAGAAAAGGCACTGGCCCAAGAATCAGAGATGGGTTCTAGTTCTAGCGTGGCCACTAAGCAGTTGGGTGGCTTTAGACATGTGCCATCCCCTCTTGAATATCAGCTTATTTTCTATAAATTCCAGTAGCACTTGGACTAGAAACTCCATCCCTTTCTGCTCTGACACTCTGTGAATTAAGGAGATCACTTGACCACTGTGTCCATTCTACTTTTTATTTGGCATTTGTTCATTTGGTACATATGTACATATATAAAAATCTGTACAAGGTAAAAATACAAAATAAGTATTTCTTTATAAGTTATGCAATTAAACAGCTACCTTTTTAAAGTTTAAAAGCCATTGCAAAAGAGAGAGAGAAGAAAGTCTAATCAGTCCTTTATAGTCATTCATAATAACATTGGTATAAAATATCCATACAGCACATGTGTACAAAATAGTGTACAGTTCATAAAAGCTGTGCAAAGACAGCAAAGTTCAGTAAAAAACAAAATCAAAATCAAAGAGGCTTGAGGGTTCTCTCTCTCTGCTCACCTCATGCCCAGTGCTCAAGAGCCTTGCAGGTCAGTGAAATATCCCCAGAAATAATAAAAGGGCACAAGGTAGAGTGCTTGGTGCATATACTATGGATACAGAAATTATAAAGAAAAAGCTTTAAAACATGCATACAGAAATAGAGACTTTTCCCTCAACAACTCACTTTTTGCCCAGAAAGCATTGAGATTATGACAGAAAAGACTCAATATTTATGTTGTGCCTTAGACCAGAAGGTAGGGGTGTGTGTGTGTGTACGTGTGTGTGTGTGTGTGTGTGTGTGTGTGTACGTTAAAAAAAATACTTGAGATTTCTGAGGGAGCTGCTATGGAAAGACTGGGTTACCAGAGTCGCTGGGTAGGAGACCCTCCAACCTAAGATAGGGAGGTGGAGGCATCTAGGAAGTCCAAGGTCTTGGAGTTACACACTTAGGACGTTGTGACTCCTAACTCCGTTTCCTTTGCCATTAAGAGTGTCCTCCCTTATTGAGTTGTCACTGCTAAAGACCTGCAGAGCCTGGCTCACAGCTAAACCCAGGCTATGGTTGTGAACACCCCCACTGTGTTTAAAATAGCTTGCAATAAGCAAGATAGGAGCTCCGGTAGAAAAGTTAAGGCTGGGACCAAAACCTAAGTTTCACTTAACGGGGAAAGAGCTGTTGGGAGGTGGTGTGGGGGAGGGAAAGGCCGTTTTGGGCAATGGAAGGGGCTGGGGTGTCCTTGACGAGGAGATGGTTCTGCAAAGGGGAGTGGCAGCGTCTGGGCAGCAGGAACTGAGCGGACATGCAGACGGAATCCCGCCTCTTCAATTTCAAAGCACTTCTAAACAGTACCCAGGCCGAGGGGCGGGCTTCTAAGACACAGTGATCTCCTCTTCGCCCTCCTCATCCTCCTCAGAGTCGGAGAAGTCCGAAGGCTTGCCGGGGCTGCTCGAGTGCGCGGGCGAGGCGGGCAGCGGTCCTTCCAGTCGCGGGTCCCGCAGATGCCGAGGGTCGGGGGACGCGTGATAGACTAGGCGGTGGCGGGGGCTGCCCGCGCCCTCGTCTTCCTCCTCGTCGTCCCCCGGGCCCTTCTGGCCCACGTCGCTGAGGTCCGGGTGCGGATTGAGTTTGGTGGGAAGGGTCTGCTCTCGGCAGCCCCCGCTAGACAGGAGCTCGCGCTCCTTGGAGTTCCGCCATTTCATGCGTCGGTTCTGGAACCAGATTTTCACCTGGGGCGCGGGGTGGAGGGGGGAGCGGGGGACAAGCAGAGGTTAGCGCAGACTCTTCCCGGCAAGGGCCTGGGGGGAGGGGCGCCGGCAGGACCACAGGGGAGGGTAGGAGGCTCTGTCCTTCTCCCCTTCCTTGCCTGCTGCCCACGCCCTGAAGTGGGTTCAGGTGGCTCAAGGCACTCACCCTACCCTCATCCCCTCCTCAGCTCCTCACTCCTCTAGCCCCATCCTCTGATCTCCGACCCGGACGGCCGCGGGGGCGGGTGGGGGCTGCTGAGCCGGGCGGGGAGCGCAGGGACTGGGAGAGAAGCGGGCTGTCCCAGGGGGCCTCAAGGAAGCTGACTAGTGCACGCATTCCCTCTCTATTCCTTACTTTCCCCATCCGTACTATGGGACCTAACCGGTTTCAGAGAACCCTCCCCGTTGTAGGATGCGCGGGGGAGGGGTGAAGAGTGGGGGCTGGGGCTGTGGGGAGACCACCCTCACTTGTGAGTCTTTCAAGCCCAACTTGGCCGCCAGCTTCTTGCGGTCGGGCTTGCTGATGTACTTCTGCTTCTGGAACATCTTCTCCAGCGCCTTGCGCTGCACGTCGGAGAACACGGCTCGACGCAGCATGCCCCGGCGAGGTTTGCCGCGGGCCGCAAGCGGCCAGGAGAAGGTCCCCGGGATGGGCACGACGCTCGAGGACGCTGCGGAGGGGTAGGGGGTGGGGGGTTACCAGTGAGTGGGCGGTGTCCCGCCGAGGCCGAAGCGTCTGCCCCTCCCTAGTGGCCTCCCTCGGTTTTTCTCTCTGATCCCTTCATCTCTTTAAAGCTCCCCTTTTTCTCCTCTTGGAGAATAGGGCAGGAACCTACAAACCTGCGAGTGTGAAAGGCGCTTTCCGCCCAAATAACTTTCCCTTTCAACCAAGCAAACCCGGATTAGGTAAAACCACGGAAACACAGAAAACAGCCCCCACAATAGCCCGCTTCGTTTTTCCATTCAATGGTCTCAGGGGAACAGTCTCAAGGGAACAAACCTGCGTATATCGGCTAAAATAGGAACAGAAAAACATAAATTACCAAAATAAATATAAAATATACAGCGGAGGTCACTGGGTTTCCCCCTTAAGCTTTTATCACCTTGGTGGCTTTTGCATTCTTTAGATGAAAATGAGGTGCTTTACTGATTTGACAGAAGAAAATCCGCTTTGGATTTTTTTTTTTGAAAAATCCAATCAGCATTCATCTTTTTCATATTAATCTTTCCTCCCCTCCCCCAGAAAACGTAAAGAATTCGGCCCGAATACATGAAAAGTGGCAGCTAATTAGCACATTGACCGCTCCCCAATGGGTATTGGCATGATAAAAAGGGGGAGAGTTTTGCTTTAAGGGAGGAAAAAAAAAACCCAAAAAGAAACAGAGACTCTAATGAAGCGTGAATGGTAATTGTGTAGTAATGAACTAACAGAAAAAGACTGAGGACAAGCAGCGAAAGCCATATATTACTGGGACAAAAGAGATTTACACTTTCAAACTAAACACAACTGCAGGCCAAGACCATTGGGAGAATACTGATGGCAGAGGCTTCTCTTCCCGGAATCATTTTCATTAAATGGACATGAAAAGCTATTTATAAAGCTCGGGTTGTTTTTGTTAGAGCATTGAGATGTGGGAGAAAGGGAGCAAATTCCATTAGCAGCAGCAGCATGAATGGTGGTTGGGGGCTGTTGGTGAATTCTCTCTCCCCCTTTTAAAAATCAATTGCTTGTTTCTTTCGCTGATATTTGGGAGTGTTGTCGTGGTTTTACCCATCCCCCACCGTCCATGCCCAGTTTCTCTTCTCTTTAGAGGCTCTCCTCTATCGCCAGAGTCTTGACCCGTTGCAGAGTTTTTGAGCTATAGTTTGAGTCACCACTGGGATTGCAGGATGAAAACCTCCTGTAAACTGTGTAAGGTGTTTCTCCTTTAGACTGGGACCCGATTAGGGGCTTTCCCTCGGACTTCTTATTCTACAAGCTCAAGGTCTTTAAAAAGATAAGGCGATGGGGGAAGGGTCTGAGAGAAGGTTGGGAAATCAGGTTGGAAATAGAAGTTTGGGGTTGTGGGAGGATCTAGTCCTCCCTCCCCCTGGGCGACCCCAGGCATCCCACACAAGAGGGCACCCCATGTGGTCTTGTGAAAAGCCCGAAGCCCTGAATGAGTCTTAAAGAGAAATTAGCCCCGGCTGGTAGGTGTCTCTTGGCGGCGTGGAGGGGCGAGGGCCGATCTGTGTGTGGCTGCCCAGAGGAGCTGACCAATTGGTCATGGTGCTGAAACCTTTGTGGGGAATCGTGGCCAAGTGCACTGACTCTGTGGGAAAACGGCGGCGTGAAGGGATGCCAACAGCTCCTCGCCGGGAAGGGAACCGCCTCAAATTGGGACCATGACAATTCCTGCTAATTTGTAGAGCAGGGAATTGGTGCAAAGTGTCAAGCAGTCACTGCTTGTGCTAAATAGGGCATCAAATTGGCGCGACGGATTCGTGAATGTTGTACGCCTCGCAACCTCTGAACCAGAGCATAACCTCGAGGGGTGGACGGAGAAATATGGCTTCGGAGCAGGGAGCGACAGGCTGGGGCTGGGGCGCCGCCCCCAGGAAGGGGGACGAGACCTACCTGGGAAATAAGAAGATCTGATAAAAGGCTGGAAGGAGGCTTCAAAGTAGGGAAAGGCGAAGGTCTTGGGAGGAACGCTCTGGAGCAAGGCGGGGGACGTTTCTAGCAGAGAATAAAGGAGGAAGGAAAAGAAGGAGGGAGACAGAAAGGGAATTTGATTAGGTACTTGATTATTGTACAGAACATTGAATACATGATATGATTAACCCTTCCACTGGCTTCAAAGACGTCTTCCTCAGTGTTTTGACAGAGTAAAAGAAATCTTTTCCTAACATTGTGCCATCTGTGGGTATCCTTCCACCCTCCCCACCCCCACACGAACCCTCCCCCCCACCTCAGAATCGGCCCCCTGTCCCCAATCTCATCCTGGGCACTAGCGAGATAGGTAGTATTGGGGCGGGGAAGCAAAGAATTGCAGGTCCATAATACTAGCTAAGCTAGTAAATATATTATCTTGGGTTTTAAAAACTGGCTTCCGGAAGTTCGAGGGCAGAAACACAGATACCTAGGGGCGTGCGCTCTCTCCGACTGCAGGTGCTCAAGTTCATTATGAGGGTGGGGCGAACCTGGAGCTTTTCCCGGGAATTGGCTGGACCTAAGCCTCGCATTGCGCTACGTGAGGCTTCGGGGATCTTGCGTAAGTATGTGCGCCGATGTGTGAGCGGGTGCCTGCTGCATACAGGAAACCGGAGCCAGAAGGACTGGCACCTGGACCGGCCCTCAGCGTTTTGCGTTCACTTACCGGTTCTGGGCGCAGAGGAGAGGATGGCGTTCACCCCAAACTTCAGAAACGTGGGCTCGCTGGCAGGGGAGGCGGCCGTCTGAGGTGAACCGTCTGGTCGGCTGCCCGGACCCGGGGAGCCCAGGTCTGAGGTCCCGGTGTCTGTGAGAGTCGCGGGGGCCCCCTGCCTAGGGGGCGACATGCTGGCGGTGGGTAAGCTGCGGGGCAGGTAAGCGGGAGGCCGGCTGATGCGAATCAGATCCTCCACCAGGAAGCTCGAGTGGCCAGAAAACGCCGACTGCAGGGACTGGGGCAGCGTTAAGGTGGGCGTGGGGCGCAGGAGGCTGGGGTACCCGGCGGGGGGTGCGAGGAGGCCGGGGAACATCATGTTAGGCGCGGGGCGGGCAGTATAACCCTTCTTCCAGTGGCCGGAGGGTAAATGCCTCGCTTCCCGCCCCTCCCGCCCCCGCAGTCCCCTCTCTCTTGGGCAAACGTCTCCAAGTAACGATCCCACTTGGGCGTCTGCGAGTCCTCCGTGGTCCTCCCGTCGAGGTGATGGTTTTATAGTGGCCCGCCCGTTAAAGCTCTTTGAAAAGTGACAGCTCTGACAATGAAGTTCAACAAAGTTCTCCACTCGAGCTTCATTCGCCGGAGGCTCTGGGCGCTCTGATTGGCGCAGGGGTGCAATTTATGATTGGATTAGTCTTCATAAGCATGGCCCGCACAATGGGCTGGCAACAAAGGCTGGCGCACATCAATTCTGCATATCGACCGCCTCTTTGCAATACAGTGCGCCCCCAAAGCTCTCGCCGGGAGTTTTTGTTCCGAAGCAACACCCGGGCTAATTAAATGCCTATTTAGAAGTTTCAGATGACATCTTGCCTCATAGAAAAGGAATTATTTAAAGAACGCACTAAATTTATTTGCAGCTCCCCTGCTGAGCCTGGAAAATAAATCAATAAATATTCATAGAAATTCATCTCCAGGCAATCAGTAAAATAACCCTCCCCCTTGTGGGGTGGGCAATGGAAAATTTCAAGTCAGTGAACACGAAAATATACTCCCTTCTTAGGTCTCTAGCACTACACGCTACTCCAGCTGAGGCATAAAGCAGATGTGAGGGGTGGGTAAAATCAGTGTTTGTGGGGTGCCATTCTAACAACACAGGGAGATTGGAATTGATGCTTTGGGGTTATTGGTTGTGGGTCCATAAGGATGGAGGAAGAGGTCTTGGCTTGAGTTATTTCGTGTCGGGAAACTAATGGAGTTTGAGAGAGTTGGTAGATACCTGAATGATAAAATGCGTCTCCTTCTGCAAACTCCCAGCAACTTGGAAAACAATTTTCAGCGACATTTCTCTTAGAAGTGTCACCAAGAAGCACTCCGCAGCTCGCTCGCCTGGTAGAGGATCAGAGAGCAGCAAGGCACCAGGGCTAGGCGGCGGTATTCCACTTGCACAGGGCTTACTCCTGCCGGAAGCAGCCTCAAGCCAGGCGACCTGAACACTGGAACGCTACGCTGGCCCCTTTCCAACCTCAAGGAGCTTTCTGCAGTTTCATTTGTAACTTACAGCCTGGACTTTTAAAACCATAGCAGCGAAGGTTGAGGGTTCTACCCACTGCTGGGCACTTAACTCGGCCAAAGTTTTGCAGCCTCTTAATTAACTGCAGTGTACAAGCGTGTGAAAACAGCGCGAAGAACGCCATTCCCAAGAATGCTGGCCCACAGTCAGGAGAGTCTATGCTTAATCTGGGGCCTCAAATGAGAATCTTCATGGAGACTAGTCCTTCCCTTTACTCTGGTTTGGGGCTGGGGTGGTGCTGAACCTCGATTCCCGTTTCTCTGTTCGGCGAGATAACAGATGTGTTAAATGTCCCATTCATTTCTTTGGTGTGGCTGAACCTCCCCAAAGAGAAGTGTGCAGCCCCGCCAGGCTGCCCTGATCCTATTAACCATGAACTAACTGTCACCTTCAGCTGGTTTTCCTTTTTGCTTTTTAACACAAAGCTTTCTCAAAAATCTTATTAACCAGCTTTATTTCTCTCGATGGTTTTGTTCAGGGCGTTTTGTGTTGATGATCTCCATGTCGCTGCTTTAACCATTCAATAAAAGTGCATCTGCGATTTATATCACATTAAACCAGAAACGGAGCCCGCTAAAGCTCTCCCTTGATTCAAATTAAAAAGTTATTTAGGGCTGGGCTCTGGAGCCGAATTATAAGGCTCAAAGGTGACGCAAGTATGGAGTTTCTGAGCCCAAGACGCTTATGGAAGCGTACTGGGCGGCAGGCAGCCGAAAACCTCTAAGGAAAGGAACTTTTTAAATAAGTGGCTATTTAAATATGCGAAATGCATTGCTCGAGTTAATTGGAGTCCCCTGAAATGGTCGAGGGACATCTGTGACGAACTTTGAAAGTTTCTCTTTTTGAAGTTTTGCAATAAAATAGGGGAGCAAAGTCTAAACTGTTTGAACGCTTGCACTTTAAGCTTGCCACAAGACAAAGTTTTCCATCGCTATCAATTCCCCACTACCCTTGCCCCCAACTGCTTTCTGGAAGCTGGGAGACCGGCTCTGCTTTTTTGCATTCTCTCCCTCCAACTCGTCTCAGGTCCAATTCTCCTCCCCCCCCCCCCACCCCTTTCTCCTCTCACTCCCTCCCTCTTTCTTTTCCTCCCCTCCTGGAGCTGTAGCCAGTTCTTGAGTTAGAAGAAAGCTATGACTACAGGTGTTGAATTACCCATCAATGAAGGGCTTTCCGAGTCTTCCAGAGGGTCGGAATAGCGCCTCTGTTTGCAGGGTCTTTCAGAAGGGAGGGGAGGAGCGCTAAGAACGCAAAGCCAGTCTGGAGCCCTCCTAGCGCCATCCTCTTCCCTAGGCCTCTTCTCCTCCTAGGGCATTTCTCTGGGTGTAGTTTTTAGTTATTATCCTGCCTACTGACACGCTCTATGCGCCCTCCACCACCAACACCGCGCGCGCGCGCGCACACACACACACACACATACATCCCGGTCTTTCTGCCTTACTATAGACTAACTGCTGCTAACTTCTCAGCTTTTAAAAAGGAGCCCTGACATTTTGGAAGCAACCCCTTGCTGCGATCCACGTGGACCCTGCCTCCAGCGGTCTGTCTGCAGAGCCCCCTGAAGCATTCCTAAGGCGCAAAGAGGAAAAGTGAGGGTGGGGCCGAGGGCTGGCCGCCCGTGAAAAGGCAGAATAAATCCTAAGGAAGCAAGAAATCGGACGAAAGGATCTTACTTTAAGTGATCTCCTTGAACGCGTCTTTTCAAACCCCGCGATAGCCTAGGGGGCTGCGCGGCGCGGCGGCTGCGGCTAAGACCTGTGACTAATGCCGTTTGACCTGAGCCCATGGGGTTTTGTGCGTCCTGTCATTCATGGTAATGTCGTTATCTTCAAGTGTATTTCAAAGAAGTCACTCACGTCCTCTCTCCCAGAGCTGGGTTGTCTATTTCTCTTTCAAGGGAAAAAACGCGAGTGGAAAAGTGAGAATCGGGGGCCCTGGCTGGCGTTAAGGTCCTTGCCTGCGCCACGGGCGCTACTGCTCGCTGGGGGAGCCCGCAGCTGAGACGGCCGGGACTCCTGGGGCCTACGAGACCAAAGCGGCCCGAGCCTCCCTGGGACTGTAGGGTGGGCTCTGGGGATTTCTTTCCTCTCGGCCAGTGGAGAGCCAGCGGGTCCCAGCCCCACGCGCCGCCCTCTCCCAGTGATGGGAGATGCCCGGTTGCGGATGCCCTCCGCAACCGGCAGCACTCCCGCTAAGCGCAGGCCGCGCGGAGGGAGGCCAGGGGCCTACGATGTAGAGAGTGGCTTAAGACTCCGGGCTTTCCGAAATGTTAACGAGCGTTAAGTTCAGGAAGGATGGGACCCCAAGGTAGCTCTTTGCAAGGGTTTGAACCCCCAGGCCGCGGTGCTCTGGGGTGGAGCTGCCAAGGCTTGGAGCCCGCCTTGCAAGTTTGGCCGGCCGCGGGGCTTCTCGGGGCCTGGGGAAAAAGAGGGAGCTGACCGGCTAAGGCCAAGGAGGAGGGCCAAGAGGTTTGGGCTGTAAGAGGCTGAAAGAGCCTTCTAGTTGCCCCAGCCCTCCAGGCAAGCCGCTCTATTAAGACACCTCTAAGGGGTTCATCTTCAGAATAGGCCACAAGGAACTACCAGCCTCCCCAGCCCTTTCTAGCGTCTCCCCCCACCCCTCATTCCTTTCACAGTCACCCCCCCTTTTTTTCCTTGAAAATCCTTCTATTGTGCCAATCAAGCAGATGGTTTGCAGGAAATATAGCTTGGCCTTGCTGACCGAAACTAATTTTAACTAGCTTTCCAAGCCTGAAACGTTTGTTTTGCTCTTACAAAATAGCCCCCAAAACAGCTGGCAAGGGTGAATTAAACCCATTAAAGACACATTTATAAGAAATTATATTCACATAGATTGCCTGAACCCCCTTGTGCAGCCTAAGAGGGGAGATGAGCGCATTTAAATGAAAATGTCGCCCAACGCTCCCCTCCTTAACGTAGCCTGAAAGTCTCAAAACATTTTACTAAATAGATTAACTTGACTATTGTCTTGCATCACATTTATCAGCTTCATTAAGTGAATAGCTGAACAAATATATTACGCATGCATGAAAAGCTCTTTTTCGAGGAGCCTCATTGTATCCTCAACCCTGACAGGTGGTTAACTGTGTGTTGTGTTTTTTTGTGGGTTTTTTGTGTTTTCTTTTTCTTATACCTCTTTTTTAACCCGAAGAAAGAGGATCTCTGTAGAGCAGCTCGGCGCTTACTTTAACTCGGGGCTTGGACGCTGTGGCCCAACGATATTAACACGGTGAGGCGTCGGTACAGGCGATTTCAGCCCATTCAAAATAATCAAAATTAAATTTAGATGAGCCAGGCCTTGAGTACTTTCTCTCTCCATCACCACCACCACCCCCCCTTTGTCTGGGAAATCAATTTTGTCTTGTTTCTTTTCAAAGCTAATGTTTGCCTCTCTCGCGCCTTAAAAATAAACTGCCTTCGCTTTTCCTTACTTGACCAGCTCTCCTCAGACTGCAGATTTAAATATCCTTTTAACTCACATTTGGATCCATTTCACTTTACTGGGTGTCTTTAGGGACAGTCCTTGTCTCCTGGGTCTCGCTGTCCCTGTGTGTGAAACGAGGGATTGCCCTAGCGAGCTCTTCATAGGCCCTTTCAGATCTGACCTTCTAAAGTTTAAAAACGCTCAGCTCTTTGTCGCCCCACCGCGGGCCCCATCAGGCCACTGGAAAGACCGCATTTCTGGGTGCCAAGGGCGCGCCCCGAGCGGAGGGAAGGAGCACCCAACGTGCTGCAGGCTTCAGGGCAGAGCGGCCAGCCCGGGAGGAGTGCGCCGGCGCGGTTTCT